ATGTTTGTATTTTTAGTAGAGATGGGGTTTCACCATGTTGGCCAGGCTGGGTCTCAAGCTCCTGATCTCATGATCCACCACCTTGGCTTCCCAAAGTGCTGGGATTACAGGTGTGAGCCATCGTGCCCGGCACTTTGGACTTTCAAACAGCCTCTAACTCTAGTCTAGCTAAGCCCAGGTCCAAAGGGTGGTGAGGCTCCGGGAATCATGTCGGAGGATACTTGTCCCATCCAAAAATATCAAGATTGCCTTGGGGAAATGTGACTCTCATAGAGTTTAGACATCACGATTCCATTTTGAGTATGCATGCCATTCTTCTTTTTCTTTCTTCCAAGCTCTGTTCCTGCACCCATCCCAACTCTACTCTTCTGCTTTTTAAACAAGCGTTCAGGGAGCTGCCCAGGCAGGTTCAAAATAAACAGCTGCCAAGAGCACCGCTCCCTCCTCCTGGCCCACTTGCTGGCGCTATAAGTAGAATGGGATCTATACCCCCAACACTGGAGTTGCCGGCGCACAACCGCCTAGCAGGCCAATCTGCTGCCCTACTCTTGCTTAGGGGAATCTTAGGGGGACCCGAAGCCCCATAAGTCCCCTGGCTCCATTTCAAGATTCCCTGTGTCTTTGAGGACTGTGGCTCTGTCTGGTGGGCTGGCACGTGCCCTGGGGCTCAGGGGATCCTAGGGGAAGTCAGGGTGGAGCAGCAATTCCTTCCTGTTTTCAAAGCCAGGCTAGGTAGGCTAAATCCTTCCTAAGGATGAGGCTCTCTAGACCCCAGTGAGTTTTTTGTCAGCATGGAATGAAAACTGACTGTGGGCGTAACAAAAAATAGGTTTGTTTTTCTCATGTAACAAGGTCAGGAGGAGCCGCCAGTGCCCTGCCACAGCACCCAGATGTCATGATGTTCAAACTTAAAAAAAATTTTTTTTTAAATCTTTCCTTCCAGATTGTTCAGCAGAACTTTTTTTTTTTTTCCCCAAAATTTTTTTTTTTTTTTTGAGATAGAGTCTTGCATTGTCACCTGGGCTGGAGTGCAGTGGTGCCATCTCAGCTCACTGCAACTTCCACCTCCTGGGTTCAAGCTGTTATCTTCCCTCAGCCTCCCAAGTAGCTGGGATTACAGGCGCCCACCACAACGCCCAGCTAATTTGTTGTGTTTTTAGTAGAGACAAGATTTCACTATGTTGACCTGGCTGGTCTCGAACTGCTGACTTCAGGTGATCCATCCGCCTTGGCCTCACAAAGTGTTGGGATTACAGGCATAGGCCACTGTGCCCGGCCCTTCAAACTCTTTGTGTTTTTACTTCACCATCCTTAGTAAGTGGCTCTTCTCCTTATGGTCTACAGATGGCCTTTTGAATCTCCAGAATCATTTCTGTATCTAGGCAAGAAAAAGGCATGAGTGGTAACAGGCAAAAGGCCAGATGGCGCTTACTAGCTGAGGTTGCCCCCATCCTCGTTGCTTTTTCTTCTTCTGCCTCTATAATTACAGAAAAGGTCTACCCCTTTAACAAGCCCTTTCCTGGATGCAGCCCCAGTTTGCATCTCATTGGCCAGAACTGTCCCCTGGTTGCCCTAACATGTAAATGAGGCTGAGGGTTTTGACTTAGGGGCTTTGCCACTGACCACCAAGTCGGGGTTCTCTTAGAGAAAAGGAAAGGGAAAATGGATATTTTGTAGGTGCTTAGCCCTGTCTGCCATAAATAGGTCTTAAGTCTTGCTCTGTCACCCAGGCTGTGGTGCAGTGACATAATCTCTGTTCACTGCAAACTCTGCCTCCTAGGTTCAAGTGATTCTCCTGCCTCAGTCTCCCGAGTAGCTGGGATTTCAGATGCCTGCTGCCACGCCCGGCTAATTTTTTATATTTGTGGTAGGGATGGGGTTTCACCATGTTGGCCAGGCTGGTCCCAAACTCCTGCCTCAAGTGATCCACCTGTCTTGACCTCCCAAAGTGCTGGGATTACAGGTGTGAGCCACGTGCCCGGCCAAATAGGACTTTTCCCACAGTACCCACAATCAAGTTCACAAATATTTCCAAGCCCTGACTAACCACTGTAGATCATTCATGTTCTCTCTATATTTGGGCTCTCTATATCTGGACTCTGGAGTCAGAAATGTGTTCAAATCCCTATTCTATCACCCATTAGCTTTGTGAGATTGGTCAAGTCACTCGAGGCCTCAGTTTTCATGCCTATAAAGTGAGGATAATAGCTGTTCCTACTTCCTGTGGTTGTCGTCAGGATTAAACAATATAGTACATGCTATATAAGAACTCAACAAATATTAGCTATTATTCAATTTCTGTACAGACCGTACGGAACACATCTCATTTAAAAGACTGTGAGCTCCTTGAGCCAGGTTGCTACTTTCTTCTCTCCTCCTCCACTTTTAAGTATTGAAAGCAACTCTTTTTAACTACACAAGTGAGACATAAATTCACTTGCCTTGTAAAAATTTAAAACATTACAGAAAAGACTAAAGTTCTCTTTGCAGTCCTACCCCTTCACCATCCCTTTTCCCACGCCTGGAAGTACACATTGTCACCAATTTATTGTTTTCCTTCCAGCTGCTTCCTATGTATTTAATACGCATATATATACCCGCAGAAAATCCGAAGTTAGTTTTTTCACCTCCTCTGTGGACATCAAGTTTTTAAAAAATGGCAGTTTTATCATATTGTTTGAATCATCCTTTAACTTCCTTAAAAAAAAATTCAACCATACAGCTTGGCAAACGTGGCAAAAGTGAAAAACACTTGGTTTCCCAGGTTGCCTTTACTTTTCCCGGACTGCTCTCTGGTATTTCCTAGTAGGGCTATATAATACTATAGGTTATTTGGCCAATTCCCCATTAACTGACACATAGGTCATTTTCAACTTATGTTCTCGTGAAGTAACTGCACAAAGAGGATCTGTATACCTTTGCCTCTGATGCCTGTGTAGACACCATGAATGGAAAGTCTGGGTTTCAGAATGTGAGCATTTTAAATTTTTTAAGATGTTGCCAAATAATCCTCTCCTCCCACCCAGAGATAGCTGTATCTAAGAATGTGTTTTTTCTCATCTTTAACTCAGGAATACCTTTGGGTCTAGCAGCCTATGCTCAATAAATGTTTGTTAAATTGCACACCCCACCAAGATTTTGTTTGGAGATTACATAGGGAACTTGCTGTCCTGAAGTCTCCTTAGACTGTTTTCTGCGTTTGAAAATTCTGTTGAGCCTAATGTTATCTCCCTCCAACAGTATACTCTTTTCTGTCCTTAGGTCAGGGAGAACAAATCTAATTCCTATTTCACATGATGTGCCCAGCCTGTAATAGACGGAAATTCCTACCTTTCCCCTACTACCCTTATGTTTAATTTTTCAAGGTTTTTGTGAAGATAAAGGAGATAATCTTTGTGAAAGCAGAATGAGTTCTGTTCAAGGCTGGAGTGTAAGTGTAGCACCAGTATGTTTTTTAGGACAGATTTCTCTCCCTCCCTCCCTCCCTCCTTTCTTTTCTTTCCCTCTCTTTCTTTCTCTCTCTCCTTCTCTCTCTTTCTTTCCTTCCTTCCTTCCTTCCTTCCTTCCTTCCTTCCTTCCTTCCTTCCTTCCTTCCTTCCTTCCTTCCTTCCTTTCTTTCTTTCTTTCTTTCTTTCTTTCTTTCTTTCTTTCTTTCTTTCTTTCTTTCTTTCTTCTTTCT